CTAGCACCGGCTTAAGCAGAATTCAACATTAAAACATGAAATAGTAAACACTGCCACGTGCTTCAGTTTACTACTGAAGGTTCATGACCTGTAATGATCACATGGCCCCTCCCAGGGAAATTCAAATTTCAAATTTGACAGCCAGTATTTTTTTCCAGAAATACACTTAACAAAATTCTGGAAACAAAGTGATCCCTCGGAAGCATTAATCACAACAAAATTACATAAGAATTGCAGACTCGGTTTGATTGAGTCTGTACATGAGAGATAATGAATAAGTGCAACATCCCTCACGCCCCCTAGCACCGGCTTGAGCGGTACTCAACACTTAATAGTGCTGGCATCAATGATCCCGAAGGACCAGAAAATATAACAACACTGAAGTGAAGTACGGGGCAACTTTTTACAGCTGCCACACGGCACTTGACACCTGCTGTTGTGAAGTACAAAATTCTGGAAACAAAGTGATCCCTTGGAAGCATTAATCACAACAAAATTACATAAGAATTGCAGACTCGGTTTGATTGAGTCTGTACATGAGAGATAATGAATAAGTGCAACATCCCTCACGCCCCCTAGCACCGGCTTGAGCGGTACTCAACACTTAATAGTGCTGGCATCAAAGTTATATTTTGAATAATTTTGGTCAATCTTTATCAAAAATATCTATGCCTACAAACATGCCAAGTGTTGTTTTAATGCATTTGGTAATTAATCTTAAATCTTTGAAAAAGGGTCCCTGAAGTGAAGCATGCATAAAATTAATAAGAAACCTGCCCTAGCGCCATCTGCTGGCTTTTATAGTCCAGTTGGGCCTTTAAGCTGGTGCTAGGGGGCGTGGACGGTAACTTGCACTTTCCATTACCGTCCATGAACAGGCTCAATCAAACCGAGCCTGCAACATTTTCAATTTTGTCGTGTTGGGCTTTCTTTAGGGATTCTGTTTTTCTCTATTTCATTGTCACATCCGTGTTATTTGTGCCGTGTGGCGGCTGTAAAAAGTCTCCCCGTACATTTAATCAATGATGTTATATTTTCGATCCTTGAAGATCGTTCAGCACGACATTATTGTTGTGTATACATGTCATGTGGTACTTTTAGTTTCTTCTATTTGGCCTTTTTCAACTTGGGTGGTTCCAGTATTTCAATTTGAATACTGTATAATCACCCTTAGGATATGCTGCCTGCTTTTTAAAATTGTCTTTTGACGTCTTATCTGTGATATGCAGGCTTCATAACCTCAGATCCCCTTTCAAAATTCCATTTTATTTAGTTCCGCCCATTGTTTTCTCGTTTAGGGAACAAGCATTATTAGCTCACCTGTCACAAAGTGACAGGGTGAGCTTTTGTGATCGCTTTTCGTCCGGCGTCCGTCCGTCCGTAAACTTTTACTTTAAATGACATCTCCTCATAAACCACTAAGCCAATTTCATCCAAACTTCACAGGAATGTTCCTTTGGTGGTCACCTTTAAAAATTGTTCAAAGAATTTAATTCCATGCAGAACTCTGGTTGCCATGGCAACCAAAAGAAAAAACTTTAAATTTCTTCTTTTAAAAAACCTAAAGAGCTAGAGCTTAGATATTTGGCATGAAACATCTTCTAGTGAGTGTCTACCAAGTTTCTTCAAATAAAAGCCCTGGGGTCAAAATTGGCCCCGCCCCAGGGGGTCATTGATTTTCCCTATATGCATATAGTAAAAACTTAAAAAATCTTCTTTTAAAGAACCCATAGAGCTAGAGCTAAGATATTTAGCATGAAACATGTTCTAATGGGTGTCTACCAAGTTTGTTCAAATAAAAGCCCTGGGGTTAAAATTGGCCCCGCCCCAGGGGGTCATTGATTTTCCCTATATGCATATAGTAAAAACTTAAAAAATCTTCTTTTAAAGAACCCAAAGAGCTAGAGCTAAGATATTTAGCATGAAACATGTTCTAATGGGTGTCTACAAAGTTTGTTCAAATAAAAGCCCTAGGGTCAAAATTGGCCCCGCCCCGGGGGTCATTGATTTTCCTTATATGTGTATGGCAAAAACTTAAAAAATCTTCTTTGAAAAAACCCATATAGCTAGAGTTTAGATATTAAGCATGAAACATTTTCTAGTGAGTGTCTACTAAATTTGTTCAAATAAAAGCCCTGGGGTCAAAATTGGCCCCGCCCCAGGCGGTCATTGATTTTCCCTAAATGCATATAGTAAAAACTTAAAAAATCTTCTTTTAAAGAACCCAAAGAGCTAGAGCTAAGATATTTAGCATGAAACATGTTCTAATGGGTGTCTACAAAGTTTGTTCAAATAAAAGCCCTGGGGTCAAAATTGATTCCGCCCCGGGGGTCATTGATTTTCCTTATATGTGTATGGCAAAAACTTAAAAATCTTCTTTGAAAAAACCCGAATAGCTAGAGTTTAGATATTAAGAATGAAACATCTTCTAGTAAGTGTCTACAAAGTTTGTTCAAATAAAAGCCCTTGGGTTTAAATTGGCCGTGCCAAAGGGGGGGGGGGGGGCGGAGGTCATTGTTTTTCATTATAAAATTATGTGTGTAGTAAAAACTTAACATCATGAAACATCTTCTAATGGGTGTCTTCCAAGTTTGCTCAAATAAAAGCCCTGGGGTTAAAACTTGCCCCGCTCCGGGGGCCTATATACAGGTGAGCGACCTCAGGGCCATCATGGCCCTCTTGTTTTACTTGGGGACCATACGCCGCTTTTCATGGAATGGCACTACTGTGTCACATTGAAGGTTCCATGATAACCGCCGTATGAACACATCTGCGGATGTTTCTAAATTCAAAATGTCACCATTCTCGTGTTAAATGTTGAGTTCTGCTTAAGCTGGTGCTAGGGGGCGTGGACGGTAACTTGCACTTTCCATTACCGTCCATGAACAGGCTCAATCAAACCGAGCCTGCAACATTTTCAATTTTGTCGTGTTGGGCTTTCTTTAGGGATTCTGTTTTCTCTATTCTATTTGATATAAAGATGTTTTATCAAGTAAATCACTGCTTTATTATTATGAATGCATAAAAATGTCCCCCAAAAAAGGCACAAGCCCTTAAGTAGTTATGGAGGTAACAGCTTACAATAATATCATTATAAAGACTGTCCAATAAAAACTTCCAAAGACTTTACTGTGAATTTTAAGACTTTTTTAATATAATAAAATAATAAGACTAAGGATTAGAAAAATACATGTACATTCAAAACCATTCAGGATAATTTAAATAAGCTCTTTGGTGTTTTGGGCATCTGGCCTCCAAAGCACTGCAAAATCTGGTAATGGAAAGTGACCCTTCCATCAGAAGTCCTGCATTCACAACATTAAATCAAAATGGAAGGCCACTTGTGGATGCTTCAATGTTGCCGGCCACAAGCTATACCATACCAGCTGTACAGCCTCACATTTGCATTTGAAGAACTGAACATTTCTGCAGTCTTCGAAATTAGCGCCGGCCATAGACCGCTAAATTCCGCGCCGGTCTGGTGAAAATTGCCAGGTCAGTGGTCCGACGGGCCAGTAGATTTTTCAGCAGTATAAAATATCCTTTAAGAAAAAACTTTAAAAAAATAAAATCCAGCAGTTGGATTCAATCGACAGATTCATAAAAAATACTTATTATTAGACAATAACAGCGATAAATAATCGGCTGATGATTATCTAGCGTCGGAAACGTCTCGTGTTCGTATATGTTTTATACATGTCCGGTGTTATAGTACTTTTCTCTTACTTTCGCATCATAGCGTTCTTTAGTAGAATTATCCATAGGAACTCGAGAACGGGACCGCAGATTGCGGCGTATATTTTCGATCTTGTAACGGTTTTTAAAAACGTTTCTGCTACATCTAAATATCTTTTAGTATTATCCGAGTGTATGGACTCAAAAAATATATTATCAATTGAACCCAATCTGTCTCTTTTAAAACTGTTCAAATTTTACGGTATTATAAAAAAAGACAAGGAGTGACATCCGCCATTTGCCGCAACGTTTTCGGCATGAGTTTTTCCCCTTTGGCTACAATTGATTACTATTTCTTTCAGAATTTTGTTCCCGCTATTTTTGTCAACTATCAGGTATCGTCCGGATATAACGTTAACGGTTTATTGTTTACACGTGTTGACATGTATAGGCGGCATTATAACGGGCGTATTCGTGTATTGATTTGTTAAAATGGTGAAAACAGACACTTTAGTAATATGGTCCAACTGATTTTGCCTAACTGAAAAAAGGAATATTAAAACTTGATCCATAGATAAATATTTTAGGCACTCATCTCGTATTCATTACTAGAAAAATTAAAACAAAAATCAAGCATATCAAGGGGGATAACTTACACCGAACGTTGCGGCTAATGGCGGATGTCACTCCTTTACTTTTTTCAATATACCGTAAATTTGACTGATTTTTAAATTAGCAGATTATATTTAATTGAGATTAAATAATTAAAGACCACCCGCTCGCATAATATGAAAAGATATTCAAAGGTCGGACAAACAATATGTAAAGCCGGTACGGATTCGGATTTATGCGCCGCAATATGCGGTCCTGTTCCAGAGTTCCTATGGAATTATCGATCTGAAATGAATTTTCTTCGTCATTTTGAAGGCGCCAAGCCCGGTGTTAAGCGAAAGGTAGTAAGTGATCCCAACACTAAGAAAAATGAGTATGAAAAAAAGAGAAAAAGAACTTTCCAGCACTCATGCCTCAAAGAATTTCCGTGGCTGACATATGACGAAGCTGTCGGTAAAATGTATTGCACTAATTGTAAATTGAAATCAAACAATGATAATTCGCCATTTGTGAAGGGAAATGAAAATTTTAAAATTGATGTCATAAAGACCCATGCAAGTTCACGACTCCATCTGAAAAATGCAAACGTAATTTCTGCAGAAAAAAACCCTGTATGCCAAAGTCAGGCTGCTGAATGTTTAACAAAGCTGAAAAAGTCAGAATATGACAAGCTTGTTGTGAAATTTAGAACTGTTGACTGTTTAGCCAAGTGTCACCTTAGTTTTAATCTGTACAAAACAATATGCAGGCTTGACCAATTCAAGGGCCTAGATGTTGGCAAAAGTTATTTGAATGACAAATCAGCAGCTAGTTTCATGTCAGCAATTGCACAAGTGGTAAGACAAGATATTGTGAAAGTTTTGGATCAGTCAAAGTATTTCAGTTTTACAATTGATGGTGCTACAGACTTTATGGGTGACGATATTGAAAACATTTATATACGAACATGTACACTTGGTAATATCAAAGACACCTTCTTACATATTGGACCTTCAGAATCTGCATGCAGTCAAGATATTCACAACCACGTCAAGGGAGTTTTTGAGAAGCTAGGTGTCAGCAATGCCCTTAAAGATAAATTAGTTGGATTTACTGCGGACGGAGCATCAAATATGCAAGGTAAGTTAAGTAAATCTTTTAAATGATAGAATATTTTCATTACTTAATTATTCATCCTATTAAATAGGAAACAAATAGTTTTTAACATGTTTTAAATTTAAAATAAAAATTAAGGATTTCACCTTCAAATTCTCATTGCATACTGTAAATACTTTCACAATAGAATGTTACCATAAATATTAAGTTTGACATTGATTTTCCAAAGTCTATTTTTGAATGTTGAAACAATACATATTGTTTTTCTTTTTATCTTACATGTTTAAAAATGTTCACATTTTTTCAGGGAAGAAATCTGGATTAGCAACACTTCTGAAAACAAATTGCCCCCACTTGGTAGTCACACATTGTTTGGCGCATAGATTAGAGCTTGCCTTCAAAGACAGCGTGAAGGTGCAAAGTAAGAAGAATTATGACCAGACCATTACACTTTTACTTGGGCTTTATTATATATACAGAAAGAGTCCAAAGTCAAAAAAGTCACTTTTTCGAACATTTAATTCACTTGAGATGACACCTATCATGCCTACAAGGATTGGTGGGACAAGATGGCTTCCACATGTTGAACGAGCCATAAAAGTTTTCATGAAAGGGTACAAAGCATTCTGCTTCCACTTACAAAACTCCTCACACGAGAATGCCAAGGCAGAAGGGTTAGCGAAATTGGCTTGTGATGGACATGTGCTTGTCTTTATGCTTAAACTAAAGGTATAGCTTATTGTCAGTGTTATATTTAAGTTTAGTAAGTCATTTTAATTTTTTAACTTTAGAGTTATATAGACTTAAAAAAAATAATATAAATGAATATAAATTAATCATGAAACACATTAATTAGCAAAGTTTCTGTACATTTGACCTACTCAAGATAAAAGTAATAACAACTTACCTCTAGATTGAAAAAAAATCAAATCTACTTTTTCAATTTCCAGGATGTGGTTGGTGTCCTACAGAAGCTTTCACTTGTGCTACAAAAAAGGAATCTCAGTCTCGCTGATGCTTACACACATGTTTATGCCACACTGGACCTCCTTAGAGCACGCAAAACAAGGTAATATCAATATTTAATATTATATTTTATTATACTTATTTCTTTTAACATGGATTTAAAAGCTGATGGTGATTTGTTATTTTTTTTACTGAAGTGCTTAATGTTCTCCAAACAGAAGAGTTCCAAACTCTGCATTTATCATTTAAAGGCTCCAAACCAAAGGCAACAAATGAAAATCTAATCAATAGTCTCATTGACTGTCTTGTAACCAGGTTTCCAGCTGACAGTTCCCAAGTGTTTCAAGCTAGCTTGATAAGCAGTTTTAATAACTGGCTTGCTGAAGGTTCAGATGATATTACAGGTTAATAATGCGTTAAAGCCCATGTTGATTGTTATAAATGTTTGTTTATTTTTGTTTTGAATAAGCTGTTTCCATGAAGAATGTTGCTGTTACAGTCTGTTGCTATTGATTGTTATGTGTCTGAAAGAATTGTTTTTTTTTATGTTGTTTTTTTTTGTTATCTGAAACAAGTTCTTTTTTAACCATTTAGTATTCCTTTTTGCTTTTAATAAAAACTAAGTAAAAATATGTGGACCATTTATTAAAGAAATAAAATATGTATGTTATTGTTTTTAATGTTTGTGTAAGTATTTATCAATAAAAATAAATGCAGTTGTATGCTTATATACCTTATTTCAGCCAAATTTGGTTACTTTTATATATACTGTATACAGATTGTTGTTTGTTTTATACTAGATTATGGTACAAGTGAAGTAAAGCAACTTCATTCACAGTTTGGTGCTATCCTGCCCCAGTCTGGTGAAGCTCAACTTGACATTTTGTTGGAAGAATGGTCTCTTCTTAAGCATTTATTGTACAGAAAGTAAGTTTAGTTTCAAGACAAATGTAAATATCATAATTTTTTTTGAAATCAGTTAAAGTTCAAATATGTCAGCTACTTCTATAGGTTATGTCTTAAATATGAAATCATTTTTCTCTGACAGTTTCATTTTGGAAAGATATAAGTGTTGTATTATTAGGCATTGATGTTATGCAGCTTTAATGTAACTTACATTTATTGTTATTAACTTTACATCTTTATTTGCTTTAGAGTTGGACATAAGCTTGTTAATGGAAAACTTCAGTGGGAAGATGTATTCAGAATGTTGAAAGACCATGACCTTCACATCGTTCCAAATCTCATAGATCTTTTAAGGGCGTTACCGCCAACTTCTGTAAAGAATGAGACCACCTTTAGTGCAATGAAGCTCTTAAAAACTAAAAGGAGGGGTAGGATGAGCACTAGGACACTAAATGAATTGATGCTTGTCCACCTGGAGTCCCCTTCCATAGAGGATTTTAACCCTGACCAGGCAATAAAACAGTGGATGGTATGTTAAACCTATTTTATTGTAACCTCAGCATTGATTATCTGTTTCAAACTAAGATAACAGTCAAATTAATTTTAAACAAGATTCATGAATCTCTTTTTTTTCCATTAAAATCTTAGTGAAGAAATTATGCATTTTTTAAAATTTTGATAGGTAACCCCATCTGGTAGACCAAGACATTTAGGGTATGAAAGGTCATCTACAGTCCAAGTTCAGGCTAATGAAACTGACTGTAACAGTAACAAAGAAAATACAGGATCAGCCACAACAAATATTGAGGTGGTTAGTTGTAGTCAGCCTAATGTGGAAATGGAATTATCAAAGGTGTGTATAATATTGTGTTTTATATTGAGTCCAACATTTTATTTAAAGAAATGTCATCAGTTTTCATAATTACTTTTATTTGCTTTCTAATTTTGAATTACCCATATTGAAGAACATTTAGCACCTCTGTGTTCTCAGCTTTACTAATACTTTTGATCATTTTTCTCTTTATTACAGTGCGATGATTCTGATTGTGAGTCTGCCTTCAGTGATAATGGTTTAGATGATGATGATGATTTAGAGGATGATGAAAGCATGGAGATGTCTGCAGATCATGTCTTTTCTCTGTTACAGTCATTAAGTTTTTGCAGAGAATAAACAACAAATGTATATGAATTATGTTTTCTTTATTTATTTTTATAATTATTGTATGAATTTAAAAGCTACATATTCGGTCTAGCTAAAGATCATCAGGTCCGTTAAGTTTTAAGATTTTACTGGTCCGAATGTAATGTGCCTGTAAAAGTTTTTCGTGAAGACTGTTTCTGCAATGTTGACGACCTGAAATGAAACAAAACCATACTATTAGTCCATACCACATTGTAGTTATTGGGAACCACATCAGCATGTGAGATGGATGGATTTACACAAATTTTCCAGGCCATTCCACGCCTGCCATATTTTTTCACAGACATTAATTGTTAGATTCATTCAACTTCACATTCTTTTTGTTCTATTTCTTGTTCAACATAATCATATTATTTAAAGTATAACTATTAAACAAACATGATAATTTTGAAATCAATGGTGGATACTGCTTCATTAAAACATTGTAAATATAAGAGGAAAGATAGGCAAATGACAACTTTTTCATACTTTAATATAATTACATAATTATCATTAAATATTCTATTTCTTTGTTGAAAATATTGTTTAATTAGTAGATTTCACTTTTCTTTTTTTTTAATTACAAGGACAAGTGATATTTATAAGAGGGTGACAATTTGCATTGTGTAATTCTTAGAAAAAATGTCTCTGTGTGTTTTTTCATCATTTTAATTAGTCTGGCAAAGAGTACCCACATCTTTTAAGCTATACCAACTTTTGTCAGAACTGGTAGGTCAAAGAACCTACTTTTACAAATTCAAGTTGGCATGCTGTCTCTTTGATGCAGTAATAGAGGATGTTGAATGAGTGTATGTTCAATACTGAATTTATTGCACAAGTGGAATAAAATTACATTATCCTAGCCTCTGGCAAGCATAATATTATTTTATTCAACGAGGTCAATTAATTCAGTAATGGACTTACACGAATTTAATATTCTATTTATATACCCGAAATAAAGACCATTTAAAGTGAAAAAAAGTCATTTTTCATTGACGCCCCTTTAGTATAACGCTAACATTTAGCGCGTCTTTACAATATGTTTGTATAACGCTAATTACGTCATGTCAAGATATATGCAGGGCTGTGCAATATCATTATTACAGAGTCGCAAAATCGTCACGGATGTGTGATTAAACGTTTTATTGCACTAAGGTATACTACTAATAATATCAGGAGTTACTTATCTCTTATAAGTTTTTAAAAGTATGAAAGGGAGTGATAATTTTGATTGCTTATTAGTTGGCATGCTGCTAGCAGCTACTCTTACAATGTATGTTGACAAAGCTGTATGATTTGAAATGAAAAACTTACCTTTCTCCCTCCTCTTTTGGGTACCTCTACGTGGTGAGGAGGAGTAACATATGTCCGTTATGGGGGTGCGCTGCTGTGCGCCTGTATGACGGACATATGGCCAACACCCAGACTGCCTGTTTGCCGTGGGCAGCGTCCCGTAACCTAGAAAAGAGGGTCCTGGTAGTTGAAGGATACCCAGGGATCTCCAGTACTCCTAACACACTGCTTTGGCCTCTGCTTTAGGGTAGACGGGTGACCAAGTGAGCCCGGCTTTGGTCAATCGGCTGGTCATGCCTTGCCCTTGGATATATGTTTCTTAAATACTTGAAAATTTCATTGAACTTACACGGTCCCGAAATGAATACAATTCAATGCACACAAATTATTTAAAATAAAAAAATCTGAGTTTAAATTTTTATTCCTACTTGTGTTTCTAGTATACCTTTAATTCCTACTGAAACTGCTATGATGGGTGCCGTTATGTTAAAACAATATTTCATATATGCATTATAAATACAGTATAACATATCCAAGAAGGCGGTGGCTAATGGGCTAATTGTGTAGGTTGTAAATATTTGCAATTTATGCGAGTATATCTCTCTGGTATCCTTGATGTGCGGAGACTGGATATCCGTCTCCATCGCACATCCCCATGTTGGAGTCCGAGGTGGCTGGGGAACCCGGGAGACGAATTTTAAAACTTTAATCATGGATTTACAAACAAAAAAACGAAAATCGCAAGAAGATTCAAGTGGTAACATTTCATTTGATGGAAGTTTTCCCCGTTTTCTAATAATCAAATCAAACGGCTCCAAATCACTTACTGAACTTAGCCCCTTCATTATAGAAAAACAACTTTCGGCTTTAATTGGAACACCTAAATCTGTCAAGAAACTCCGCAATGGAGGACTCTTGATAGAGGTAGAGCGGAAACAACAATCAGATATTATTCTGAAATGTACCAGCTTTTTTAACATTGACACAACTGCCACACCACACCAGTCTCTAAACTCCAGCAAGGGCGTCATCAGATGTTCTGACCTTGCTGGAATGCTAGAAGCAGATATTGCTGAAGAGTTAAAATCACAGCAGGTGTCAAATGTCAAGCGCATTCAGTCTACAAGAGATGGTAAACGACTGCCAACGAATAGCCTTATTCTAACATTCTCCACACCCATTCTCCCATCATCGAGACGAGTAGGTTACCTTAACGTTCGCGTTGCGGTTAACATTCCAAACCCAATGCAATGTTACAAATGTTTCAAATTTGGTCACCATGAATCAAATTGCGTTAGGCAGACTATTTGCCTTAGATTTAGCTCAAACCATGACAAAATTGAGACTTGTAACGTTCCTGTTAAATGTGCAAATTGTGGAGGAGAGCATTACGCCACCTCCCGGTCATGCCCCTTGTGGTTAAAGGAAAAAGAAATTCTTCGTCAGAAGTATACGCAAAATATTTCCTTTCAAGATGCACGAAAGCTTGTTGAATCACAAGGACCAAAACAACTGTCGTATTCAGCTGCAGTTAAAAAGTCTGTTAAGATGGTTGACTCTGCAGTACAGGTCAACTTATGTCAATGCCCCCCAATTAAGTTACCATTACCTACAAAGCATACAGCTTCACAAAGTAAGCAGTCTACCTCTGTGCAGACTCAGTCACCATTAAAGTCTTCTCCAAAGAAGCAAACCGCAAACATTCAAATAGCATCTTCTGAGAAAGTTATTCAAAAACAATCGCCTAAAGAGCGAATTGTCATCACAGATCGGTTGAAGAAAGCAATGCGGAACCCGATCAACACAGAAAATCGGTTCGATCCACTTCACGACACCCAATTGATGGAGGATGAGGATCTTTACCTCTCCCCTCCTCCAACTCCGAATAGCAGAAGTCCAATAAAGTTTCCTAAATGATATAAATATTCTTTAAAATGGATAATAGAAGTCATTCTATCCTACAATGGAATTGCCGAGGTCTTAAGTCAAATTATAATGATCTACTTTTACTATTATCAAAATTCTCTCCAAATGTATTATGTCTTCAGGAGACTATGTTATCTCCTAAAGATAATATCTCTATAAAAGATTATACACTTTATAATTATATATGCACTAGTAACGCCAGAACATCAGGTGGTACAAGCATTGCTATCGCAAATTGCATTCCTCAAATAGAATTAAAACTTAACACAAGATTACAAGCTTTAGCTGTGCAGGTGACCTTACATCGACCACTAACAATTTGTTCTTTATACCTTCCTCCAAATTTAACGGTAACAAGTGATGAACTTGAAAGTATTGTTCGGCAATTACCATCACCTTTCCTTTTGTTAGGCGACTTTAATGCTCACAATCCTATGTGGGGCAGTACATCTACAAATAATAAGGGTAACATAACTGAAAAATTGATAGATAACTTTCAGCTTTGTTTATTAAACAATCGGTCACCTACATATTTACATCCAGCTACAGGTACGTTTTCTTGCATCGACCTCTCGATTGTCCACTCTGCTATATACTTGGACTTCGATTGGAAAGTTTTAGATGACCAGTACGGCAGTGATCATTATCCATTGTTACTTACATCAAATGACTCTATACCAGATGAAGGACGTCAAATTTTTAAATTTAAGAAAGCAGATTGGGAAACATTTACTAGGCTCTGTTCTATTGATCTTACAAAAAATGAATTTGATTTCACCTCTGATGATATAGCTGAAACTTTCTCTTCAGCATTACATACGATTGCTTGCAAAGTTATTCCATTAAAAAAAATAATAAAAGTAACAAAATCAAAAAACCATGGTTTAACGATGAATGTAAAAAAGCCGTTCGTATACGTAAAGCTTCACTCAAAAAGTTTGAACATAGACCTACAACAGAAAACCTTGAAAATTATAGAATATTTAGAGCCAAAGCTAGAAGATCAGTGCGTCAATCTAAACGCCAATCATGGCAATCTTATGTTTCAAATATTAATTCAAATACTCCTATTAGGAAAGTCTGGGATGCAGTACGAAAAATAAGTGGTAAGTATAAAAAGAGTCCAACTGTTCACTTAAAAACTGGTGATGGCCAATATGCCAAAACAAAAACAGATATTGCAGAAACTTTGGCTAAAACGTTTGAAAAGAACTCTTCTTCAAGCAATTATTCAAATACATTTCAACAACATAAATGTAAAGCTGAGAAAGAGTATATTAATTTTACTTCAACAAACGACGAAGACTATAATTCCCTTTTCTCTATTGATGACTTAATTTATTCAATCAAAACTGCAAAAGATAGTGCTGCAGGCCCGGACGAAATTTACTACCAGTTTCTTAAACATTTACCACCCCAATCCCTAGACTTGCTTCTTGAAATTTTTAACAAAATTTGGGTATCTGGTGAATTTCCTAACACTTGGAAGAATGCGTTGATTATTCCTATCCCTAAACCTGGAAAAGATTCAACTGACCCTACAAATTATCGTCCAATTTCACTTACAAGTTGCCTCTGCAAAACATTCGAGAGAATGATAAATAATCGGTTAGTTTGGTATCTAGAAAATAATGGAATTATCACTAATTTTCAGTCAGGTTTTCGTAAACAGCGAAGTACAAACGATCATCTTGTACGACTTGAGACTTTTATTAGAGAAGCCTTTGTAAATAAACAACACCTGGTATCAATTTTCTTTGATCTTGAGAAGGCTTACGACACTACTTGGAAATATGGTATCCTAAAAGATCTAAAGGATGCTGGACTTAATGGCAGACTTCCTCTTTTCATTTCTGGTTTTTTAAACGATAGGCACTTTAAAGTAAGACTTGGTTCAACTTTTTCTCAAGACCACCAACAAGAACAAGGTG